TCAGATCCAGAACCTCAGAGTTCTGTTGGTGTCTGGTCGGTGAACAGAACCTTTGGTTCTGAAACAGAGTCTGACCTGAGCAGCAGATTCCCAGCAGCATCATCAACATCTTCATCATCAGGCTGCGCAGCGTCGTCTTCTGGTTCTTCTCTTCTCTGCTACAGGACCCGGTTCTGACCCGGTTCTCCTCTGGCTTTGACCCAGTTATGCTGCAGAGCCTTCTTGCTGCTGCTCCGTCTGAAGTCGGGATCCAACTGAACCAGACCCCAGAGACGCCTGGCTGATGTGGGAGGGGCCAGAGAGGGAGGAGGGGTTAAAGGTCAGACAGAAGGGACAAGGGAGAGGAAGAGGAGTTTATATTTTATGGCATCAGAACGACGGAACCAGAAACTACACTGAGGTTCTGACTCGTTTCACTGGTTCTGATCATCAGCAAGTCCAATCTGCCAGATTCTTTAGATTCTAGAAAAGTTCTGGTTCAAACTGGATCTGAAGCTGATCAGAACCAGTCCACCAGAACCAATCCTTCAATGTCCTCTCAGTCCAGAAGTTCTGTTTCAGCCCGGTTCTGCTGATCCAAGCAGGAGAAAACTCTACTTATTTAAGTCGGATCCATTTAGCTGCTGGTTCTGTTTAGGTTCTGAGGAAGCAGTGAAGCCCTCCCAGCTTGGACCCGCGGAACCGATTCGGTTTGAACTGCAGCATCAGAACCAGTTCAAACCCAAACCCGATCTCTATGTGGAGATCTCACAGAACTAACGGGCCAATAACGCTGGTTCTGGTTCTGAAACATAAAGGAAGTGTAGAGCGCCCGCATGCCGCTGGGTGGCGGCAGAAAGCCGATCTGGCTGCAGCAGCAGAAGAAGAAGTGTGGCGGGACGTAAACAGGAAGTGGATCTGAAACAGGACGGGTTCTTTTCAGAGAGGTTCTGGTCAAGCTGATGGAGGTTCGGCTGCAGGAAGCGGACCGTTAGAACCGGAACCAGAAAGGTCAGAACAGACCGAAACCGAACCATCAGAGTTCAGACTGAGGTTCTGCTCAAATTCTAACATCAGAACTTCTTTTGGAGTTTTATTTAAAAGGTTCGGAGGTTCTGATCCGGAGATCCAGTTCATGATCAGTTCCGGAGCTCTCCAGTTTGGATCAGGGTCCCGCTCTGTTCCTCCGGTCCAAATAGATCAGAACCGGTGTTCTGACTAAACACAGCTACGCCGTCAGATTTTTTCTCCCGCATCATATAGACAGCCAGGTCTATCTGTCGGTGCTACCCGTCCAAAAACTGCTGCCATGTTACAAACTACAGCGGCTTGTTAATGTTCAATAATTGGATTATTTAGTGACTGAAGTGGAAGCTTAGCAGTTATGGTTAGCTTAGCATTGAACCATTATATGATGATGAAACCAGAAGCAGATCTGAATGTCCTACCGTTTGAAATGAAAAGCTGCAGATGCAGCTGATCCTTTCCATCATATCTACCTGTTAATATCTGAGATACAGAGGCGTTTGTTAAAATAGAACAGGATCAGATGGAAACAGGTTTTATTGGAATTAAATTAAACAGACAGCAGATCAGCACATTTATAGGATGTATGACTGCACAGATCACTGAAATGATGGGATATGATTAATATACACTGATATTACAGGCTTACAGCGTCAATCCTACATAGTATTGCTAACATCTATTTAGCAGAGTTTAGCAATAAAAGAGTGTAATTAAACTAAAATATACAATTTAGGGACAAAACAGCCCACAGAAAACAATTTACAGTTACAGTGACGACTTTACAGACAGAAAACTGAAGCCATTTATAAATATATTTACAAGCTGTTGGCATTTCAAGTAAAAACATGAAGTAATACAGCAGCTTAATGAAAGCCTGGTATAAAATTAAAAAAAACTTACAGTAATCTGAGATGTAATAAAACACAGGAAGCAGAATGTGACGTAGCATCGATGTGCGCATTAGTACAAGGTTGGACGGATTGACGGGTAGCCCAGGTAAACAGAATGCCTGTTGCCCTGGGGTTGGGGCATCGGCTAATTTTGGGGAGACAAAAAGAATCTCCTTGGCAACAATAATATTATTCAAGTAAAAGAAAAAGGCACAGAGCAGTAAAATGGTAAATGGACTGAACATATATAGCGCGTTTCCAGTCATTTTGACCACTCAAAGCGCTTTACACTGGAGTCACATTCACCCATTCACACACACATTCATAAATCGATACGCAGACCGGTAGGCATATAAAACTACTCTGATATGAACCTTTTTTCCAAAAAAGTTACTCAAGTGAATGTAACCAGCACTCCTCACTTCATGAACATAAACACCAGTAGCCTACAGGCTGCTAGTTAACAAGCTAAAGGTGCTGTTCTGGTGTTACCTAGTCATCTCTTAGCTAACATTAGCTAGACATCTTTAGCTAACATTAGCTAGTCATCTTTTAGCTAACATTATTTAGGCATCTTTTAGCTAAACATTATCTAGTATTCTTTTAGCTAACATTATCTAGTCATCTCTTAGCTAACATTAGCTAGACATCTTTAGCTAACATTAGCTAGACATCCTTTAGCTAACATTATTTAGGCATCTTTTAGCTAACATTATCTAGTATTCTTTTAGCTAACATTATCTAGTCATCTCTTAGCTAACATTAGCTAGACATCTTTTAGCTAACATTAGCTAGACATCTTTTAGCTAACATTAGCTAGACATCCTTTAGCTAACATTAGCTAGACATCCTTTAGCTAACATTATTTAGGCATCTTTTAGCTAACATTATTTAGACATCTTTTAGCTAACATTATTTAGACATCTTTTAGCTAACATTATCTAGTCATCTTTTAGCTAACATTATCTAGTCATCTCTTAGCTAACATTAGCTAGACATCTTTTAGCTAACATTAGCTAGACATCTTTTAGCTAACATTAGCTAGACATCCTTTAGCTAACATTATTTAGGCATCTTTTAGCTAACATTATCTAGTATTCTTTTAGCTAACATTATCTAGGCATCTTTTAGCTAACATTAGCTAGTAATCTTTTAGCTAACATTATCTAGTCATCTTTTAGCTACATTATTACTCATATTTTAGCTAACATTATCTAGACATCTTTAGCTAACATTATCTAGTCATCTTTTAGCTTACATTATCTAGGCATCTTTTAACTAGCATTAGCTATTCATCTTTTAGCTAACATTATCTAGACATCTTTTAGCTAACATTAGCTAGTCATCTATTAGCTAACATTATCTAGGCATCTTTTAGCTAACATTAGCTAGTCATCTTTTAGCTAACATTATCTAGTCATCTTTTAGCTAACATTATCTTGACATCTTTTAGCTAACATTATCTAGTCATCTTTTAGCTAACATTATCTAGTCATCTTTTAGCTAACATTAGCTAGTCATCTTTTAGCTAACATTATCTAGGCATCTTTTAGCTAACATTAGCTAGTCATTTTTAGCTAACATTATCTAGTCATCTTTTAGCTAACATTATCTAGTCATCTTTTAGCTAACATTAGCTTGTCATCTTTTAGCTAACATTATCTAGGCATCTTTTAGCTAACATTAGCTAGTCATCTTTTAGCTAACATTATCTAGGCATCTTTTAGCTAACATTATCTAGTCATCTTTAGCTAACATTATCTTGACATCTTTTAGCTAACATTATCTAGTCATCTTTTAGCTAACATTATCTAGTCATCTTTTAGCTAACATTATCTAGTCATCTTTTAGCTAACATTAGCTAGTCATCTTTTAGCTAACATTATCTAGTCATCTTTTAGCTAACATTATCTTGACATCTTTTAGCTAACATTATCTGCATCCAACAGCTTTACTAAACTCAGTCGGTTAGTTTGGGGAAAACTGTGCTAAGTTCTTTGCGTTTTGCTGCCATGATTCTAACACACCTGATGCTGTTGTAGCTCTGCACAACAGCGCTCCTGTTGCGTTTAAAGGTGGCTCGGAAAAACATGATGCGACATGTAAATAAATTAAAGTTTTAACAGCTGAAAAAAGTGACAGAAGGCACCGATATGGGAAATGCGTAAGCCGCTGGCTCCTGTATCAAACCGATATAACAGAGAGTCAACCACTTTAAGGTAAAAACAACAAAGCTTTAGACACGGCTGACTCTGTGGGCAGTAATGCCCCCCAATGCCGCCAGGCATCAGAACCGGGCCTGCAGAACCTGAGGGCTCTGGTTCTACAGCACTTGGGCACGCTGTAGGGGCGTGGCCTCCGCCAGGTGTGGGTTGGGGGCGTGGCCTCTAACTTTATTCATTTCGGTTTCCATTTAAAATGAAAACAACAGAAGCAATAAAGCAAAAATCTCAATGAAAATCTGTCTAAGGAGTTTTAAAAGTGAACAACAAATAAATAGTAGATTTGATATTTAATCATCTGGGAGCAGCAACACTTAAAAACTGGAAGAAGATGGTCCAGAACCAGAAGTGTCAGGTTCTGGTGCTGGACCAGTAAGATGGTCCAAAAATTTGTTTTATTTCATTTTATGTTATTTAAACATTTAAAAAATGGAAAGATAGTTATTTTTTACCCGTTTTCAAAAATACATCTGACAAAAGATCAGAATATGGGTCAGAACCGAGTCAGCAGGTCATATGAAGTTGGTTGTTTTATATGAACAGAACCTTTCTGGTTCTGGCTCAAGAAAATCGGATCTCTGTCCATCACGAGCTGCTGGTTCCGGATGAATTTCTGACCCAGTTGGGAGTGGGTCCTCACAGTTCTGATTGGTACTGGTCCAGTTCATAGAGGATTTTAGGACTGAAGGAAGTGAAAATCTTCCAGGTCGATTTCGTTTCAGGTCTGGGTCTAGAATCGGTTCTGATTGGACCAGTCTGTGTGTTCGTATTGGATCCATGTCGGGTCAGAACCTGGTACTGATGCGCTGTCTCTCTGTGTTTTCAGGATCCAGATTCTCCCGGTCCAGGTTCTGGTTCTGATCCGGCAGTCTGGGTGGTGATGGCGGGTCGCGGACGCGGACGCAGAGAACTCTGGGTTTGGACCCGGTCGGAACCAGCAGAGGCGACTCTCTGCCTCCAGCCGTGCAGCAACCCACACCTGTGTTCCCAGTAAGCTCCGCCCCCTTTCCTCTCACCTGGCTCCAGTCCTCAAGTAGTTCTGGTTCTGTTGGACGGGTCCGACTCCAAACGAACCAGAATGAGGGCAGCAGTGCACTCTGGGAGCTGTAGTTGATTCTGTGCGGTTTCCCAGGCAATGGAGCAGAAGCCCCTCCCCCTGGCAGGCGGGGAGGAGTCAGAGTACCTGATGGCGCTGAAGCAGGACTTCAGGGCGGCCATGAGGAGTCAGCCATGTTTCATCCAGCCGGCCGCCGCCCACAGAGGTCTGAACCCACCAATCAGAAATCAGCAGCTGACTCACCAAGCTGTGCTCTTATTCTGAAAATCTCTCTCTACTTCCTGTCAGATGTGGAGCGATACTCAGATAAATATCATCTGAGTGACAAGATGGATGCCCTCACTGACTGGATCATAGGTGAGTTTCCTTCAATATGGAACAGTTCAATTCGGTTCAGTTCAGTTTCGGCTTAGTTCAGTTCAGTTTGGTTCGGTTTAGTTCAGTTCGGTTCGGTTAATTCAGTTTAGTTCTGTTCGGTTTAGTTTAGTTCGATTCGGTTAAGTCCGGCTCGGTTTAGTTCAGTTCGTTCGGTTTAGTTCAGTTTGGTTCAGTTTAGTTCGATTCGGTTTAGTTCAGTTCGGTTTAGTTCGGTTCGGTTTAGTTCAGTTCGGTTCGGTTTAGTTCAGTTCGGTTCGGTTTAGTTCAGTTCGGTTCAGTTTAGTTCGATTCGGTTTAGTTCAGTTCGGTTTAGTTCGGTTCGGTTTAGTTCAGTTCGGTTCAGTTTAGTTCGATTCGGTTTAGTTCAGTTCGGTTTAGTTCGGTTCGGTTTAGTTCAGTTCGGTTCAGTTCGTTTCATTTAGTTCGATTCGGTTAAGTCCGGCTCGGTTTAGTTCAGTTCGGTTTAGTACGGTTCGGTTCAGTTCGGTTTGGCTTAGTTCAGTTTTTCTGTTTGGTTCAGTTCGGTTTGGTTCAGTTTAGTTCAGTTTGGTTCGGTTAGTTCAGTTCGGTTCGGTTTAGTTCAGTTCGGTTCGGTTTAGTTCAGTTCGGTTCAGTTTAGTCCGGCTCGGTTTAGTTCAGTTCGGTTCGGTTTAGTTCAGTTCGGTTCAGTTTAGTTCGATTCGCTTTAGTTCAGTTCGGTTTAGTTCAGTTCAGTTTGGTTCGGTTTAGTTCAGTTCGGTTCGGTTAATTCAGTTTAGTTCAGTTCGGTTTAGTTCAGTTCGGTTCAGTTTGTTTCATTTAGTTCGATTCGGTTAAGTCCGGCTCGGTTTAGTTCAGTTCGGTTAGTTCGGTTCGGTTCAGTTCGGTTTGGCTTAGTTCAGTTTGGTTCTGTTTGGTTCAGTTCGGTTTGGTTCGGTTTAGTTCAGTTTGGTTCGGTTTAGTTCGGTTCGGTTCGGTTTAGTTCAGTTCGGTTCAGTTTAGTTCGATTCGCTTTAGTTCAGTTCGGTTTAGTTCAGTTCGGTTCAGTTTAGTTCGATTCGCTTTAGTTCAGTTCGGTTTAGTTCAGTTCGGTTCAGTTCGGTTTGGCTTAGTTCAGTTCGGTTCGGTTTAGTTCAGTTCGGTTTAGTTCGGTTTGGCTTAGTTCAGTTCGGTTCGGTTTAGTTCAGTTCGGTTCAGTTAGTTCGATTCGGTTAAGTCCGGCTTGGTTTAGTTCAGTTCGGTTTAGTTCGGTTCGGTTTAGTTCAGTTCGGTTTGGCTTAGTTCAGTTTGGTTCGGTTTAGTTCGGTTCGGTTTAGTTCGATTCGGTTAAGTCCGGCTCGGTTTAGTTCAGTTCGGTTTAGTTCGGTTTGGCTTAGTTCAGTTCGGTTAAGTTCGGTTCGGTTTAGTTAAGTTCGGTTAAGTTCGGTTTGGCTTAGTTCAGTTTGGTTCTGTTTGGTTCAGTTCGGTTTAGTTCAATTCGGTTCGGTTTAATTCAGTTCGGTTAAGTTCGGTTCGGTTTAGTTCAGTTCGGTTCAGTTTAGTTCGATTTGGTTAAGTCCGGCTCGGTTTAGTTCAGTTCGGTTTAGTTCGGTTCGGTTTAGTTCAGTTCGGTTTGGCTTAGTTCAGTTTGGTTCGGTTTAGTTCGGTTCGGTTTAGTTTAGTTCGATTCGGTTAAGTCCTGCTCGGTTTAGTTCAGTTCGGTTTAGTTCGGTTCGGTTTAGTTCAGTTCGGTTTGGCTTAGTTCAGTTTGGTTCGGTTTAGTTCGGTTCGGTTTAGTTTAGTTCGATTCGGTTAAGTCCGGCTCGGTTTAGTTCAGTTCGGTTTAGTTCGGTTCGGTTTAGTTCAGTTCGGTTTGGCTTAGTTCAGTTTGGTTCGGTTTAGTTCGGTTCGGTTTAGTTCGATTCGGTTAAGTCCGGCTCGGTTTAGTTCAGTTCGGTTTAGTTCGGTTTGGCTTAGTTCAGTTCGGTTAAGTTCGGTTCGGTTTAGTTCAGTTCGGTTAAGTTTGGTTTGGCTTAGTTCAGTTTGGTTCTGTTTGGTTCAGTTCGGTTTAGTTCAGTTCGGTTCGGTTTAATTCAGTTCGGTTCAGTTTAGTTCGATTCGGTTAAGTCCGGCTCGGTTTAGTTCAGTTCGGTTAAGTTCGGTTCGGTTTAGTTCAGTTTGGTTCGGTTTAGTTCGATTCGGTTAAGTCCGGTTCGGTTTAGTTCAGTTCGGTTTAGTTCGGTTTGGCTTAGTTCAGTTCGGTTTGGTTCAGTTCGGTTTGGTTCGGTTTAGTTCAGTTCGGTTTAGTTCGGTTCGGTTTAGTTCAGTTCGGTTTGGCTTAGTTCAGTTGGTTCGGTTTAGTTCGGTTCGGTTTAGTTCGATTCGGTTAAGTCCGGCTCGGTTTAGTTCAGTTCGGTTTAGTTCGGTTTGGCTTAGTTCAGTTCGGTTAAGTTCGGTTAAGTTCGGTTCGGTTTAGTTCAGTTCGGTTAAGTTCGGTTTGGCTTAGTTCAGTTTAGTTCTGTTTGGTTCAGTTCGGTTTGGTTCGGTTTAGTTCAGTTCGGTTCGGTTTAGTTCAGTTCGGTTCAGTTTAGTTCGATTCGGTTAAGTCCGGCTCGGTTTAGTTCAGTTCGGTTCAGTTTAGTTCGATTCGGTTAAGTCCGGCTCGGTTTAGTTCAGTTCGGTTAAGTTCGGTTCGGTTTAGTTCAGTTTGGTTCGGTTTAGTTCGATTCGGTTAAGTCCGGTTCGGTTTAGTTCAGTTCGGTTTAGTTCGGTTTGGCTTAGTTCAGTTCGGTTCTGTTTGGTTCAGTTCGGTTTGGTTCGGTTTAGTTCAGTTCGGTTTAGTTCGGTTCGGTTTAGTTCAGTTCGGTTTGGCTTAGTTCAGTTTGGTTCGGTTTAGTTCGGTTCGGTTTAGTTCGATTCGGTTAAGTCCGGCTCGGTTTAGTTCAGTTCGGTTTAGTTCGGTTTGGCTTAGTTCAGTTCGGTTAAGTTCGGTTAAGTTCGGTTCGGTTTAGTTCAGTTCGGTAAGTTCGGTTTGGCTTAGTTCAGTTTAGTTCTGTTTGGTTCAGTTCGGTTTGGTTCGGTTTAGTTCAGTTCGGTTCGGTTTAATTCAGTTCGGTTAAGTTCGGTTCGGCTTAGTTCAGTTTGGTTCTGTTTGGTTCAGTTCGGTTTGGTTCGGTTTAG